AACCCGGATTCTAGCGTTGTAAGTCCGCAGACATACCACTGTACCACTGGAGGGCTAAGTTTAAATACCTACGACGCTAAATTCTGGGGTTCGATTCCCTGCAGTTGACAGTACGCAAATATTCCATTCTGTAGTTTTGTGCTAAAAATCAACAACAATCAAAGTAATACAAATTGTGTATGTTGTAAATCGAGGTGTTTAAATATACGAATTCATTTGTGTATTCTAAACTTATTGCAACGTGTGTCATTGGTTGAGGTGAAATTGATACGTTCTTTATATTTTATTTTGAAAATATTTGAACTGTTTAAGTTGAACCAACGTTATTTCAAATAAAAGTATATAGATGGCGCATTTTTAATTTCAGTAGTAACATTTAAGTATAATATGTTTTGAGCCACGCAGAAGTAAGCATAGGACGTCATATTCTTAAGTCCAGTATTAATTAATAATGTGTCTTTAATTAGTTAGTTTTGAATTTCGCGCAAAGCTACATCGGAAGGGAATCTAAATTCGGTTTCTAGCATTGTAAGTCCCGCTGTGCCACATCTGAGTTTTTAGTAATTTTGCGAGATGTGGAAGAATGGTGCCGGACATGCAGTACATGTAGTGCAAAAAGGGGACCCAAGCATAAAGGACGCCCACCTTATGAAGAGTTGCCTGAGAATGTGTCAGAGTTTGTGAAAGTGTTATCGGAAAGGATGGATGATATTCACCATCAACTGCGTTCAAATTTGAAAACGCCTGCTGATTCGATGAAGCTATCTTATGATAAGAGAGCTACTGAAGTCTGCTTTGTACCAGGAGACAAGGTATGGTTGTATAATCCCAGGAAGACCAAAGGGAAGTCTCCTAAGTTGTCTTCTCCATGGGAAGGCCCATATGACACAGTGGATCGTCTCTCAGATGTGACTTTCCGGGTAAAATGTGGTCGGCGAGGTAAGCCAAAAGTGGTTCATGCCAACAGGCTTTGGCGTTATCACGGTCCAGGACATTTCAGTTGGGACGAAGTGGACAACAGAACAAATGACGCTGCTGAAGACGTGACACCTGAAAAAGCCACCGTCGAAGAAGAAACTCTTCTCAGTTTTGAGAAGGGAAACGGTGAAGCTCTTGATGAAGTTACTACCACTGATGTGACTGTTATCGACGATAGGAAATTTCCTGATGAAGCAGATGAACCCCATATGAAGCAGAAGCCAACGAGACGGAGACCAGTACGGAAGAAGATGCGTCCCATAAAATTAAGAGACTTTGTTGAATTGTAATTTTGTGTTTGTAATTCTGTACATTTTAATTAAGTTATTGTTATTGGTTTATTGTATGTGGTTATTGTTAGGGACGAACAATACTAAGGAGGGGCAGTGTTGCGTCAGCGAGGTCACGTGACTAGTGTCACGCCACGTTTCTAGAACTATCTTGTTCCTTCGTGAATGCCCTAGCATTTACTAGATATATGTTAGTCTGGTATATATATATATAAGACGCTCACAACGTGACAATAATGTGTGTAGGTAGTGAGTAATTGAACTGCAGTCAGATAGTATTGTTGAAGTTGAGCACGTTCGTTGTTATAGCGCGACTGTTGAAAATAAGTGTATCGCTAAAGTTTCGTCGGAACGAAGTTACGGGAAATCAATTAACAAACGGAGACGTAACATTATTAATGATGCTAGTTCGTCTCCTAGGCTTTATTTCGTCCATGTTTTAAAAACTCTGATCTGTCTTGTTAGGGTTGTGAAGTGCAGTTGCAATAATTTAACTGCCCCATAGTGTGGAAAAGTGATCAACTTACAGCTAGCTTTTGATCTTCCTATGTGATAACAGTGTAGTCACTTATATTCTATCAAAGTGGGACTACATATTCACACACTGATAAAGGTAAATTCAATTTTAGGATTCTCCTTACATCAAATTCTACATGAAGAACCAGTTGCAAAGTGCAGTTTTATATCAGCTGTAATTGGTCCAGCTAGGTCAATGATATTAGAGAATGTTATCTAGCGTATTTTACATGATTATTACTGTGACAGTGTAAGCGCATTATGAGGAGCACTCATGCACCAAATTTGGAACTGTTTGATTATTTGGTATTTGAGTTTTGATTCCCATAGATTTATTGTAACATTGGATAGCGAAAGGTAAATTAGGTATTACAATGACTTGTGTTGTTAGTCTGTTAAATGAATATCCGTCTGTAACTATTGAGAGTATCTTGTATTATTTACGTTAATTTGTCAAAATCGCTGAGTGGTACTTAAAAGAAGCAGAGCCTTTGCTGCATCTACTTTAGCTTTTTACATGTCTTTAAAGAAATATACCGTAAAGCTTGTATTGATGTTAATCTGTCTCTTCTTTCTTGTTTAAAGTGGTCGAGTTACGTCAAATTGAGTTAAACTGTTGTAAAATTAAAGTATTTTCCGAAGATAACCTAAGCGACAGCTTTATAAAAATTGACCTTTACCGTACTGTATTGATTAAGATTTCTTTTTAGTTTAAGGTAAATTCTTTCTTTGTTAGGTGTAAGAATGTCGGGTGATATTTCAACCTTCATGAAGCAGTTTTCTGCTCCAGGAACAAATGGGCATACTGTTGCGAATGACCTACGGTTAACTCCATCTCCAGAACCAGCACATCATAAAAATAAAGTACAGTTTCATGGATCTCAGTCAAAGTCTAGCGAGAAGAAGAGTGCCCTCAAACGCTCCAAAAGTTTTACAGGGAGAGAAGATATGACAGCAGGAAGCGCACACACGGATGGTTTTCCTGCAGAGTACCAAGATCTCGTCAAAAGGGCTTTACATGGTGAGTAGTGGTGTTATGTACTAGGAATGACTTCAGCTGGAGTAAATCGGTATTGTGAAATTTAAAAACATTTACATAGCTTTAATCCTGTTATATATCTTATAATGATCTAGACCAAAATCTGTTTTTGTATTAAGAAAGAAGTTATTTCCAAAAGTATCTAGAACTAATTTAATACGAATAGATGCAGAAAAATACTAAATAAATTAGGTTCAAAATTACATGTTTACTCAGTACTCAAATGCGAAAACAGCCCTTCCATTATTCACCAGTCTTAGCTATGTGTAGTAACAAACAATGACGTCAGTAACAAAAAACAAGAAAATACTTACTGAATGTTGGTAGTTACGTGTCAGAAAATATTCAGTACTCTTAGTGAGATATGTTAGATAAACTCTGATGTTATGATTTTAATTGAAATCGTCTAAGCCTCATCCCATACTTGATGACTAAGAAAAATGCTTGACGGTTTATAATGCAAAGATTCAAAGTTCAGTTCTTGTAATGGGGCACAGTACAGTTAGCATGTCTTGCACCTTTGTGCAACTTCTTCCAGGGCGCGGGCTGGATAGCAATTTATTAATGCATTTGTGGGCCACACCGTATGAAACAAAATTGTAGCTAATAGCTCATATTTTAATATTATATAAGTTTTAAGCTCATAAATTTATAAGGCAATATTTAAAAAATCCTGAATTTCCTCTACTGTGAGAAATGTGACAGTTTTTCTGTTGGCATTCCCTCTTCTCTAATTTATTCGCCACCCTTACAATATGTACGATATTTTACGTGAATTACTCACTATAATATCGCCATCGCTCAAACAAAGCATAATTTTCCTAGCCTTCAATCTTATTTGGTTACAATATCAGACACCTCTTGCCCACCCACCTGTTACATCCCCTCCTTCAGGATTTGTTAATAATTCTCTCTTACGTTTAATACTACATTATTCATAACCAATAGAAAGCCAAGGTTTTCAGCTATAAAATAACTTATATGTTATGTTGTTTTCTTTAGAGAGAATTGTCAATTTTTCTTTTAGTACAAGCTTCGTTCCCATGGGGAAGATAATGACTACCTTGAATGAATTTTTAACAGTTCTTGTTGCGTAGTTAGAAAGCCAGAAATATAGTGATAGTTATGGGGACATTCTCTGGTTTTTTGCATGTTATTATTCTATGTTATTTGGTGCATTATTTAATTAAATAAAAATTACCATTAGTATAAAAAAAAGTAGGGTTAAGTGCCAACGACAGTGGTCAGCAAAAAAGAAAGAAGGTCCAGATAAGTACTTTATTTCTTGTTTGTCATGTGTATTCTTTATTTATTTATGTTAGTTAAGGTTAGACTAGGTCAAATAAATAGTAATAATAGTAGAATAAAAAAATTGAGTTTGTGGGCGGATCGCGGACCAGATAAAACTATCTCGTGAGCCCGATGCGGCCCACGGGCTGTACGTTGCACATGCCTGCACTAGACGTACTTGTATGTCATTAGTTGACGCCCCTCAGTGGCACAGTGGTATGTCTGAGGACTTACAACGGGTTTCGATATCCCTCATTGGCAGAGCACAGATAGCCCATTGTGTAGCTTTATGCTTAACTTCAAACAAACACTAGCTGACTGCCCGTTACATGACAGTAAACGCTGATTTTTTTTCTGAAATTTAAATCTATATAAATGTTTTATTAACATGTTTTCTAAAAATTAATTATATTATAGTAACAATATATGTATAAAGAATGTTTGTCCTTTTTCCTGGTATTTTATGAAAACATCTTTTGTGAAAGGGTCCTTGATTAGAATGCATTTTTACGTTATGTTCAAAGCTGCTTCTTGATAAAGCCTTATAGATTAAACCATTGAACAACAAAATCTATTTCTGGAAGAAATATTCCTACGTATTCAATGTTTATAAATGTTTTGACTAAATTTTTAAAAATCCTTACCAAAGGCGAAAAATATTAATATTAATATATTAAACCGCCATCTATTGGGTGAAAAGATATTTAAGTCATTTCTGACACACACACAAACTGATGTTTATATGTAATACATTATCCTCGACTTAATCTATACATTCGTATTTTTTCGAATATTCAAATAACTTACATTTATAAATATTAATTGTTAAATATGCTTTTGGTATTTTAACACATATATTACCTACTTGGCCTTAAAAACATAAAGAAAACTAAACATTTATTACTACCAAATATCTTTTATATTTTGTTCAGTCGAAAGAGTTGAAAATTTGTATCGGAATGTCCTCACTACGTTTTCTAATTCCTGACCTAGAATATAATAAAATCACTTAAGAGTGCTATTTAAGTCTCTTTCAGAGTGTACACGTACTTTTGTTAACGATAACATTTCATTTTTCTGCGTAGTTTTTATTAAAAATGCAGTGATTAAAGAATTACTTTGAGGTACATTTTGAAGGTACAGACAAATTCGTTTTAATTAAATTCTATAATTTTCGTAAGTCATTCAGTAATGGTTTCCTGTAATTTTTGACGGGCTTTTATACTAGTACAACCATAAAAAGCTATTGCTTTAAATAACAAATGCATGTGTACTTCAAAATGAAAATTATGTTTAAAACTGAATTAAACAGAAACACCTTAACCATATTATTTGTTACAGAGGTTCTTTAGATTTTATCTGAAAGATCTGCTAACACTGAATATAGAATTGTGTATCAACACATTATTTCAGAATGGATAAATATTGAGCAGTACCGCAGAGCATTAAATTTGATTTTAAATAGTCTTATTTTTGAAAGTATGTGTTCACTCTGTATCTGGGCCTTTGCTGCAACCAAATTCGTAAGCACGGTAGGAATTTATTAAGAAAATGCATATTTTACCTTTATTACTTATGAAAAATGGCTAATGAAATAAAAGAAAATACTAAGTTGCATGTTTTTATACCGGGTGTCTAAAATCGGTATTAATTTCTAAGGTAATAAATTCTAAACCAAGATAAAAACATGCAGTTATGTTGGTCAAGAAAATCCGCAAATTTTATTCCATCTTGCTAGTTTTGGCCTAAGCCAAAGTTCAATATTTGTGTGTGTCGTAAGATGTGTACTATCACCCCATTAATTGAACTTGCATATCTACACATCCTGGATAGCTTTTATTTTCTGTATTTGAAAACCGATGGTATCATTGACATACGTTTCTTGCAGCTAGACAGGGCTCCCACCTCATTTCGAATTTTGTAGTGAGGTATTTGACAATGCCTTACCAACCCATTGGTTTGGCCCAATGCCGCTGGACACATTAAGTCTACTATTTAAACCCTAGGCCCAACTAAACCTGTTGATCACAATAATCATATTATGAAACAGATGAAAGAAATTCAGTACTCCTGGTGTCAACATGTTTGATGAATGCCTGAAGTACACGGAAGTGAACACTTCAGAGGTCTTGAAATTGTAGTACAAAACATATGGTTATGTGAATAAACGTGTTTTACCATATGTTTCTGTTCTTTTTTGCTTACAGACTATTATTCTTTAAATTGCGTACCAAAATTTATAGACATATTGGATAATCACAAGCCAATTAAGTCTATAGCTAACGCTAATAAAAATATATAGATTTCCTCAAAACTGACAATTTTAAATTGTTTAGTTAATTACCTTTTCTTTCCGATCAACGTGGTCATCCGTGAAATCTCAGAGTAAATTATAGTCCATAAAGCCGAGAGCACAAAGTTTTGTCTTGCAGGAAATCTTTATTTTTGTATAGATAAAAAGGTGAAAACATTTGGTGAGATAGATAAAAGGCATTAGGTCTACTAACTAGAAAAATTTATAAAATTACCCAAACAAAATTATTGTTGAACACTCTTTTTGTAGTTATACAGTTTATTTCTTTTAGATCCCAACTCTCTGACATCCCTTCAGCTGATGGAAATAGTGAGGGTAATGTGTTCCAAAGCCGTGGAGAGTATTCACCACGCAGAACCCGCCGCTCAGATGTGTTTTGCCATTATTGAGGTAGTTTTTGTTCCTTCTAGCTGCTTGTATATTTTACCTGTATGTCATAGCATATATATTAGGCTGGCAGTACAATTTATATATAAAACTTCATTGTCATAATATAACTTATAAAATTGACGGTATGATTTGGTGTTTGAGTAGAGCTTTCTTCAAAATTTCCGTGGTGACTATCTTGTGTAATACGAAACAAGTCAGTTTTCTGGGTTATTCCTATGAATAAACTAATAGTCATGTCAAAATAATACATTTAAATATAATTGTATCTTTCCCATCACACCAAACCATTTCAGAAAACTGTGTTAGATGGTTGTTTGGAGTTTATTGGCGCAAAGCAACGGGGTTACATGTGACAAACAACTGTTAAAGAGAGAAAACTGTGTACCAGTCATCAAATCTGACTTACATTGACAACTTATTTTGCAGAGGGAAAAAGGCGAAACGTTCTTGGAGAGCCTACTTAATTCTTGTCGTGAGTGGTTTAGTGAACGTGACAAGTTGCTGCGGTCAGTTTCTGGGGCTGGTTCCCGCCGTTGGATAGCGTATATCACCTTCCTGGCGTGGCTGTACCTTTGGCTCAAAAGTCGTCAACGTCAGATCCTGGTTGCGAACGGGCCATCTGGCACTCCAGCTGCTGCAGACCGATCTCTTTCCTTGGTCATGCTCTTGTACGAGTGCTGTGAACTTATCTTACAGCCTCCATCTGTAACTTGTTTAGCTGAGGTAAATATACTTTACAAAATATAAAATGCTAAAATAATGTGAAAAGGAGCAAAAAGCATTGAATTATTTGGCAAAAATATTGTGCTGACTTGCAAAGTTATAGTTTGAGATATATTTTTCTGTTATAGATCGAGTGCTTACGTTTTGTGCTAACAAGTATAGGACAACAGCTGGAACAGGATTCTTCACAACGTATGCAACATTTGGTGGCCCATATGCGTGATGCCTTCATCAATCCGTCCATTTCGGCTCAGATCCGGAAAGCGCTTTTGGAACTGGTGGAGCTGCACGCCAGTAAATGGCAGCTGGATCTGCCTCAGTCAATGTATTACTTCCCCTATACAAGTGTGGACAGGAAGTGACGTCGATCTTGAATCATGGCTTCTCCAGCCCCTGTATCCAGACATGAATAGGAAGTGATGTCATAACCATAGATAATAAGCTTTTATTTGCATATTAATTTCTAAACACGAAGATATGCACAAATTATATCATTACTTATTTCGATGGTGAAATACAATTTAAGTTTTCACGTGTGAGAAAAACAATAATGGTCTAGTCAGGAGAGGGCTTATACCTTTGTTCTTTTTTTTCCTGCACTGGTGAATTGACTATGCAGTTTATATTGTTTTTATATGTATCTGTCTTCATATAGCTGTCACAGAGTTTATGCACGACATGAAAAAAAAATGTACAAATGTTTATTTTGCAATTCGTAATGTAATGAATGCGTGTGATGTCTATCTATTAGAAATGAAGTCCGAGTAGGTCATTTAGAATGTGGTGCGAACCTGGAGGCTTTATAAATAACACCTGAAATCACTAGAGAAATTACATTTTAGGATCATGGTCAAGTGCCTTACAATATGTTCGTATGAACTAATGAGTTAAATAGTAAAAGAAATAAGAAAATAACACTTGTGCTAAAGATTATTCCATTTGATAAATTTTTCCAATGTGCTTTTTTTTAAAAAAAAAATCAAGCTTTTATTTAGATTTTCTTTTTTTTTAAAGCAAACTATGCACGAATGTAAGCTAATATTTTTATCTAACAAGATAAAGAAATGTTTTCTACCATCATCTTTTAGGTTTGGAAGTTTTCTGGTGCTGTTTCCTTGGTATGTTGGCGTTCGTATTTTTTAAGTTTATTTGTTCTGTAATAGTACTATTTATTTTTGTCAGAAATTGTAATGCCACACTGTAAAACAGTTTAAATGTTTAAATATTGTTTTTGAAAGATTAAAACTAATAAACCACGCTTTTTCTTTTGTAAAATGTGACAGAAAAATAAAATTTTAAATACAAATTGTTACGAGTAATTGAACTAATGAAAGTGGTTTCATTTGTAAATTTTTAGTTGTTTGGGGCATAATGGTGCAAAGCACCTTGGCTATTTGCACCAGCTAATCGTTATAGAGGTAAAAAAAAAGTAATATTATATAAAAGGGGGAAGCCCCAGCGGCACAGCGGTATGTTTGCGAACTTACAAAGCTAGAAACCGGGCTTCGATACCCGTGGTGGGCAGAGTACAGATAGCCCATTGTGTAGCTTTGTGTTTAACCTCAAATAAAAGGTAAAAAGAAAACACGTTAAAATCTAAACAATGCTCAAAAATTAAGTAGAAATTAAATAGAATTAAAAAGAAAAATGGCTCGTAAATCTTTTAAAACACAATCAAGCTGGACAGTGTCACTATCACCAATGACACTGTCCAAAGTCAGGGGTAAATCCCTAGCCCAAAACATGTCTAAAATGGTGCCGCCGCTCACATTCGTTGGTTGTTTGGGGCTTTATGGCACAAAGCAACGTGGCTGCTATCTGCGCGAAACAACTAGTAAAATGACAAAAAAGATAAAACTACAAAAAGTAAAAAGAAAACAAGCTTAACAATACCCAAAAATCAGATAAAAACTAAATATAATTAAAAAGGCCAATGACCCGTGAAAAGCTAAAACTCGATCAATCTGGACAGTGTCACCATCGCCGATGACATTGTTCCATGTCATAGAAAAGATATGTTTAAAAAGTGTCACTGCTCACACTCCTAACGACAGCACGAAAGTAAAGTATGGGCAATTGAAACTTAAGTGTCACAAAGGCCACACATTAGCGGATGAACTCCACATAAAAGAAAATTATAGTTAAGAAAATCTGTTAAGGATCTGTTAAGATAAGAAAATCTGCATACCCTAGACAAGATATTTTCCTCCTTCCAATGGTTAGGGAAACCAGATGGCCAAAGAACAGCAGTATGTTTCATCTGGAAAAGCTTGTTATGAAGTTGCTCTTCTCAAATCTAATGTCACCTGATGCAAAGCCGGGCCTTTATCACAGGACCATAGTCCATATTAGGTACAGGTACGGTTGTGACAGAACAAGAGCAGACAGACTTAGGCGCAGTGTCAGCATGCTCGTTCCCTTGAACACCGACGTTGCCAGGTGTCCAGAAAAACTGGATAAAACGAGTGATAGAGAAAACTGAGTCAGTCACTTCACAATGTCTAAGAGAACAGGGTGAGAACTGACATTAAGCGATTCCATGGCCAGTAGAGAGCTAAGAGAGTCTGGGTAAATAGTACAGTTAGTGTACTGATTAGCTTCTACATGATCCAAGACAAGAAAAATGGCATACAACTCAGCAGTGAACACAGAAACTGTAGAGGAGATCCTGTGAACAACCACTGAGCCACAGTAAACCATTGCGGAACCCACAGAGTCACCTAATTTCAAACCATCCGAACAGAAGAATGGTTCAAAAGAAGTTTGGCAAAGAGAAGACGGTACTTCCAATCGGGAGTATCCACCTTCCTCAGATGACTTAAAGAAAGGTCACAGGTGGGGATGGTAATGAGCCATGGTGGAATGGTCTAATCATTGGACTCAGCAACATCATCCACTGACAGACCCAATTCAGCCAACTGTACCTGGATAAGAAGGCCAAAAGGAAGAATGGCAGATCATCTATTTTAAAAGAGCACAGCCTCCCGAGGAAGGAAGACACAACTCAAGGTGGGATGCTGTGGAAAAGATCAAAGCTTGGTAGCATATTGTGAAGAAAGTTGCAAATGGTGGAAGTGAAAAGGAGGTTCGTGGGACTAAGTGTAGAAACTCTGGATTAGCAATGTGCGAAAAAATCCCATGCAGAACCAAAGCATCAGATGATGAACAGGTTCCATCATTTTGATGGCAGTGGATCTGGTAGATCCACAAACCATACACCCATAATCCAGTTTGGATCGTATGAGGGCATGATAGATCTTCAACATAGAACATTGTTCCACTCCTCATGAGGTGGAAGAGAGGACACGGAAAATGTTCAGTGCCCTTTTACACCTGACATGAAGCTTCTTAATGTGAGGAATAAAAGTCAGCTTGTGATCAAATAGAAGCCATAAAGACGTCACCTCAGGAACCACGGGAAGAACAGCACTACTAAGACGGAGCTCAGAATCTGGATGTAAGCCTCGTTGATGGCAAAAATAAATGCAAACGGTTTTAGAGAAGGTAAAACTATTTGCTATGGTCGACTTCAACAATCGAGTGAGAACAGTCTGAAGCTGCCACTCAATAAACCTCATGTTCAATGACCAACAATAAATGTGGAAGTTGTCGCCATAGAGACCATTTGCAACAGCAGGAGGAAGTTGTTTAGTGATATCATTGATCTTGATACTGAAAAGGCTGACACTCAAGACACAATGCTGAGGAAGTCCAAGTTCCTGTGAGAAATAATGGGACAGGGTCGAACCCACATGGACTTGGAATTGTCTGTTAAGTAAAAAGTTACAAATAAAAATGGGCAAACTGTCATGCAAATCATAGGATTGGAGGTCCAACAAAATTCCAAACCCCCATATAGTGTCATAAGCCTTCTGATCATCAAATAAGACACAAAACAAGATGTTTTCTCTTGAGGAAGGCTTCCCCTGATCGAGGTTTCGAGTCAAATCAGGTGGTCCATGGTGGAGTACTGTCGACGAAAACCATACTGGGTGGGCGAGAGGAGGTTGTTTGATTCAAGGAATCAAACAAGACGAGCATTAACTATCCTCTCCGAAACCTTATGATAATTAGAAGGAATCTTGGGATCCTTCCCAGGCTTAGAAAAAGGTAGAACAATAGTCTTGCACCACATATTTGAAAACACGTTCTCCTGCCAGATCTGGTTTTTAAAAAAATGGAAGATCAAGAGAGACAGGAGAGAGATGGCACAGTGAACATCATCAGGTTTGACTGATGTTCTACCAGACTGATGAAGAGCAAACTTAAGTTCCACCAGTGTAAATGGGTGGTTATGATCATAGAGACAACCTGCCCTAAAGGCTTTTGGGTGATCTCTCAGCCCGAGATTTGATGGCCAAGAAGGCAGGGAAAGAAACAGAAATGCTAGAAGCACGAGAAAAGCTGTGGCTGAGAGTATCAGCAACTTCCCGGACATTGGGGAGCAAGATGGAAAGGGGTTGGGAAGCATATATCCCATTGACCTTCCGAATCTTGTCCCAGATGACCTTAGAACTGGTGGTAGACGAGATACTGGTAGTGAACTTAATCAAAGATTCCTTTTGGCTTTGATGCTTGACCAGCCAGGCACAGGTACGAGCCTGCTGGCAAGCAAGGCAGTTGGGAAGAGAGGGATACCCGCAAAAGACATCCAAGGCTTGTTTCTGAGCCTTCTGTACTCGCTGGCAGGCAGGAGTCCTCCTTGGATGAGAACACCATGGAAAACGCATCAAAGTTTTAGGAATGGAATGAACATCTGTCTAAATTATACAATCAGTTACTTCAATCATGCAGTCATTAATAGATGGCACACTAACAACAGCAGGATCAGGTTCCAAGACAGGGAGATGAAAGAGAGCCAGCCAGCATGCTTCAAGGCACACGACTGCAGCCAATCTCATGCATAATGATTGGAAAATGTGGGTCACTGTCAACCCTCCAAGAAAAAAGTGAAGGGAAACTGATAGACAGATCTATAGCAGTAAAGGACTGACTAGGTGCATTTAAATACGTAGATAATCCAGTATTGAAGAAAAACAGGTTGTGATCTGAGAGCATACACTCCACAGAACGACTTCTCCCAACATATTATCACCCCAGTGTCCATTAAAGTCTACCAAGATGAAAAATGGAGCAACTGTTCTATCAGAGCATCAAGGTCTGGTTGATCGTAAGTCTCTCCTGAAGACAAGTAGAAAGAAGAAACAGTGATGGTTCGACCCACGGAGATACGGAAAGCTGAAGCCTCCATGGATGTATCGAGCAAAACAGACAAAGCAATTACAAACCACCATGAACTTGACTGTCACACAACCTGTCACGTTGGAAGAAAGAAAACTACCGAAAGGTGACAATTTGGGTAGGTCTCAGGAAGGTTTCCTGTATGGAGACCACTTAGGGTGATCAAGGCCTTAAAGTAGTCTAAATTAGAAGGTAAACCTCGATAGTTCCTCTGTATCAAGTGGCCATACTTATTTAGAAGGAGGAGAACTTGGCAGAGAACCCTTCTGGTTGGGACCACAGCATTTCTCTTTAGTAGAAAGAGGTCTTTCAACCTCTATGTAACCTACTCAAGGATGATTGGGCAGAATATATATATATACTATTACTAAGCTTACAGAACGTAGTAAGTAGTAGTAAGATATAATATGTATGGTTAAAGGATGCGACACGACAGACGATAGTTGCTTATGCCAAATAGCGGGGTTACCCTCACGATCAAAGTGGAGATCCATTTTGCATTCTATTCAGAGGGAAAATCTTTTATTCGAACTTATCCTACTCGTTTTTAGCAAAAGTTATATGATTTAGAACTTGAGGTGCAAGCTTTGGATTTGGAGCATATACAGGGCGTTATTTTACGTTCTAATAACGTTGGTTTGAACAAGGGTAACAGTATCATGCAGGGAAGTCTGAACTTCGTAGTTCTAAACGAGTGAGTTGGTGGGTGGTCGTGTAGAGATTGAAAAGGTGTTCTATGATTATTATTCTGCGATGAATATTTCGTAAGGTGTTGTCTCTCATTATGTGGAAGAGTGAGTCTGATCAGCTTTAGTGTGAAGGGAATATTACCATCCAGGAATTTTGGAGGTGTTACCTCAGTTGTCTTCCAACAAGTCTCCAGGCTTTGATGGCTACATTGTAGAGCTTTTTCGTTGATTTTTATCTTTTTTTTTCAGGAGGAATTTTTTATTATTATGTTAAATGAACTGTTCTACCAACACAAGTTATTTGATATTATGAAGCTAGGAATTATTGTATCGATTCCCAAAAGTGGGGATCAAAGATGTGTGGAGAATGGTCGCCCGATACACTCTTGAATACCGATTACAA